GGTAGGCCGAGCAGCGACTACCTTCTCCAAGCACTGCTCCTTATCCTTTGACCAAGGCCGTGCAGTGAGGAACTATCGATGACTGTTAGCACTTGAGCACCCACATTATAGGCCCACTTCCACCAGGTCCGTCTGTATTTCGATGAGCATGTCTATGGTCCCGACTGGGTGCCGAGGTAGCTGGAAGGTATACTTCTCAGTGTTCGCTATGATATCATCCACGATAGGACGTATGATGGACAATTTCAAACCCTCCCCTCTGCTACCATATCGTCCTACTAGACGGAATATCTAATTAGACACTTGTACAATAAGGAGCCCAATAGCTTTAGCATAATACGGCTCTCAGATCCTGTATGAGATCCTTGGTAAGGCTATCCTTCCGCTGGAGGATGTCCTCTAGGAAAACACTCAAATGCTGTAGGATGTGCTCTACAGTTGCCTTGCGTATACCAGGGATGTTCATAAGGAAACCATCGTTGATACTAAAGTGCACGATACTACTCCAGCTAGAGGTTACTCCCACACTCCTACACCGATCTGTTGGTGTTGTCGTTCTTGAGTAGCCGATCGAAGGCCTCCATCACCTCCTTCTCCCAAACCTTATAAAGCTCGCTCTCCATCGGAGCATTCCTTATTATGTTCTCTATAAGATCCTTCCCTTGGTCTACTATTGCTGAGAGAGACAACTACACTACACACAAGGCCTGGAGCCTCACATGATCCCTTCAGTTGCTCTTTGGAACGATTCAAGCTGGCAACAAGCGCATCGATGGCCTCCACTACAGCATGGGGGTCGTTACTCTTCGGCCCACACAATGGAGGCATGGGCAGATAACACAATGTTCCCATCACATTCTGCACACCATGTTGTGATGATGATGCACACCAACTATCCGGCAACAAGCATTCACTTACACCTCTCACAGGGTTTTGTTCATTGGCAATCTCCTTCACAGTTCTACCCAATACTTGTGAAAGTCGATGCTCCTCCTTATCGTAATGTAGAGCTTGCATTAGTCTAGTGCTGTAAGC